CCTTCCCCCTCCTTCTCCCCCGCGGACGCGCTAATTTGTCACGCGACGCACCTCGTTTTACAACCAATTTGCTTTCGCACTTACGTCGCACGTGCATCTCACGCGACGCGCTTCCCTTGATGTGAAGATAAGGACTGCTTATTTTTTATTTATACCCGTGCATTTATTTTTCGAGCGATTTATTACGTCACTGATGTTGTAAGTTGCGATTATAGTAATTATGAATACATCTCTTTCTTTCTCTCTCCCTCCCCCCTTCACTCTCTCTCTCTCTCTCCCTCTCTCCCTCTCTCTGCCTCTCTCTCTCTCTCTCTGACCCTCTCTCCCCTCTCTCCCTCTCCCCCCCTCTCTCTCTCACGCTGGCTTGTGTAGGATATTTCATCTAATTTGTCTGATTTAATCTAAATATATTTTTTCTCGTTATTAAAAAATAGATCTTTCACGTATGCGAATTATTTGAGATTCATGGAGGCAGATATTATAATCGGAATAAACTCTCGAGTCAAGAGAGTGAGAGTTTGTTCCTAAAATATAGTTTAAAAAATTTTTCTTTATGTTTAATATATCTATTCTTGATATTTGTGTTTATTTATTTGCAAGGATATTTTAAAAAATTGTTGTAAACTTTGAGAATTCATAATATTTGGCTTAATCTATCGCGGTTATATCCGAATGCGCGCGTTTGAAGTATTTATATACATTTATATTTTTAAAAATAATAATATGTAAAAATACTTCTCACTTCCAAACGTGATCGATTGCTTATTCCAAGAATTGAGTATTAAAATGCGATTCTATAAATGCAATTCAATATGAAAAATTAGATGTGTATACATATATATATATATATATATATATATATGTACATATTATATATATATCGGTGATATATCGGTGAAACACACTGGCACTATAAAATTGAATACGAATGAAACCCGATTGGAAGCCGATATCGCGTCACATCGTCGCGTTTGCCAAGCGAGCACGATGTGCTATTTTCTAAGTAAAAATATCGCTTCTAACTCTCCGTATCGAGCAGTAATTGCGACAATTGTGCTGATAATTATCCGTTAATTGCGACTGATCTTTGAAAGCGAAACTGCACATGCGTCGCAATAATATTGCACTGCAAACGATTGCACGGACCAGTGCAAAAACTATCATTGTGGTAAGCAATGTATTAATTTAATTATGATTACTATTTCTTATTACATTTTTTGTGCATTTATACATTTTACAATTTAATATATAATTATATATGTATATTAATAATTATAAATATATTATAGATGTGTCACAATTGTATATTATGATATATAATATCATGATTATATAATTTCTAATTATATATATCAATTAATCTATTACTAAATTGATAGAAAAACTGTATTAAATTGCTTTTTTTACATTCTATTATTTTACTTTACTCAATATTTTATACTCAATATTGTTTTTCTAAAAACAAATTCTGTTGTCAATCATAAATTTTATTCGATTAAAAACCGAAAATAAACAAAATTACGTTACATACATACATGAAAACGGTTTCGTTTGTTTTTTAATTTCTCGATATCGAGAAATAGATTGAAAACGTTGTTTTAAGCTCTTCGTATATATTTTTAATTACGAATTCATAATATTTGCTTGCTAATATTTAAAAAATGATAAGTAATAATATCAGTGTCAAGGAGAATATATTTAATTTTTATTTTATGTGACAACATTAATATAATATAATACTTACACAAATAAATTTATTTAGATGTAAAAAAAATTAATCATATCTATTCTAATCTATACACATATGCTATGGGATATTATGTATTTTTTTCGACACCCGATTTTTCGATTCGATCAATCGATCAGCGGCGGGAGTTAGCGACGATATTGACCATGAAAATTCGAAGTATACATGCCGCCATCAATTGAAATAGTTTTAATCTACTTAACGGGCAGGAATTTATAGAACTCGTTCGTAGAAACGAGTCGACGATGCTCGCGTCACTTTAATCGAATAAAAAGCCGCCGTAATACCTGGAATGGATATAAAAAGCCCGGGACACATAATCATTTTATAAATCGACAACCATCTTCGAATCATATATATTTCAATCCCTCATCGACTCAAGTCGACGACGTCTTTTTTTTTTTTTTTTCCCGACTTAAGACTTCAGGGGGCTTTTCGAAGCGAATTCGACGAAAAGCAGCTCTTGTTTCAACGAGAAATGTTCATGGTGTGTATGTGGTATCCCCAGCATTCTTGCCAGAGTCGATTCGCGAAAGAGATGGAAAGTTTAGCCCCCCTCCCTCCCCTTTCTTCCTCTCTCTCCCTCTCTCTCCCTCTCGATACTATCGACTCTGTCATGACGCGGGTATCGCGGGCGCGCACGATTTATTTGGCCAACAGCGTGGCTGATAAATTGCGGAGAAAGCGGGAACGGATTTGTACGGCGATGTACAAACTGCACGATTCTCATAAATGTCATCGCGAGCACATAAACGTCACGCTCGGGCGTGCTTCGATCCGCTAAATAGCGGGCGAACAACGAACGAGCGTTCACAATCGGGGCGACACGGGGGGATGAAAGGGCCGCCGAAATTCTCGTTCGACTCGGCCCCTTCGGATTCGGATAAATCGAATGGCAAATCGAATTTTCATCGGCGAACGATACAACGGACGAATAAATTCACAGGATATTCCGGTATCCCTGAATCTTTTCGCAACGCGGAATTTTTCTGCGCAGGAATTGAAAAAGAAATTATAAATCGATGTATTTTAAAATACATAATATCGCATAATGTATTTTGTGTATAGATTAGAATAGAAAAGATTAATTTTTTTTTTATCTAAATAAATTTATTTGTATAAATATTATTATTATAATTATAATGATTATTATTATTGTTATTATTATTATATATATATAAGATTAGAATAAAATAAAAATTAAATATATTCTCAATAACACTGATATTATTATTTGTCATTTTTTAAATATTACGAATTCGTAATTGAAAATATATGATAAGCTTGAAATAACGTTTTCAATCCATAAATTGAGAAAATGTGACAAAAGTTAATGAAACAATTTTGACTTACTGAAGGAATGTATATATATATTATCTTCTCGAAGCTATAATATTGTATAAAACGCGAAAGATTTATATATATATCGATCCATTTTGTTCACATTAATGTGTTAAGACTTTCTAGAGATGTGTAATTTATAGTATGAATTATATGTTTCTGTAATATCGTATCTGACTTTAAAACCGCAGAGTAATGTTATACGAATTCCCCAACTTTCTACATTTCCATAAATTCACTGTAACTTGAAACATCGCGAATGTTTGTGCGAGAGATAAGGTAATTTTGCGAAATTTAATTATCAGAAAAAAAATTTTAACATTTTACTAACTTTATCAATTGAATTCGATCGTTTTTGCGAATTTCGAATGTATTTTTATCATTACAATTTAATCCGCTTATATCAAAATTATCTGATAATTTTTTACGATTAATGATACTTAATTTCCCATCGTTTTTAACATATCCCATCGCACTTTAATCGGACATGATATCCCTGTCTCTCTCTCCCTCTCTCTCTCTTTCTCTCTCTATTCGCATTCGCTGCGAAACGCCGAATTTATTTGTTTGCGTCCGCATTTCCACGTGCGCGCTTTTGTTGCGATTCAACCGAAGGCGAAGGGAACGGACGAGCGAAAGGGCCGAATGAATGAAATTATGCGGTGGGAATTAATTGCACGGGTAAGTCGCCCGGCCACTCGTAATTAAATTAGCATGGCGAAACGTTCCATGCGTTAAATGATTGTGTAACAGGACGCGCGGCCTCCGCTCCGCTCTTTCTCTTTCGCGGCTCGCCGCACCACGGAATAAAACGCGGATTTTTTTTCATTTTTTTTTTTTTTTTTTTTTTTTAATATCTTTATATTTTAATTATTGCAAATTAATTTTTTATTATTTTTAACTTTTTAAATAATAGATTTGAATTAACCACCACTATATTTCGTCGGTGGGTAGAATTTTTGTTGGGGATTTTTTTTTTTTTTTTTTTTTTTTTTTTTAAGAGGAGGAAGAGAGATTTGGGTGAAAGAGGGACAAACCATTCGGTTGACAACTACCGAAAAAAAAGAACGAACACGACGGCGCAAAAAACACACACGTGTTCCTCTCAATGCATTCTGGATTGTAAAACGTGCCCGAAAAAAGTACAGTAACCCTGCATTTATTTTTTTCGCGTTGCAACATCCATGCGCGAAGTGTGTAATTCGAGGTTTAAAAAGTTCCGGATAGCTGGGGGAATAGCGTTCAATTATGGCGAATGTCCGTGATAAAATTTTTTATTAAATTTTATGTCAGGGAATATATAAAATGGACTGGTTCTTCTTTTTCTAACTTGTAGATTGATGAACTGAGATTTATGATATGCTCGGAGTTTTTTTTAACATTTTTGTTCTTGGAAATTTGAGCACGACTATTAAACATTTTGACAATCGAATGTCGAAAGAAATTTTTATGAGAGATATACAGTATAATTAAAAACCATTAACAATCAAAATTTTGATATAATAATCTTCTTAGATACGCGAATCGTTAACGCTGCAAATCTTTAATTTCTCAAATCTAATCAAATTAAAAAAAAATTGACCAATATTATTTAAAACATATATTAAGCTAAAATAAATAAATCAAAGTTTTTCTGATATCTCAAGAATTAAGAATTTCTTATGCTTATAAATGCTGCTTTCAATTAAGTTTTAGAAAACTTTGGTCTGTTTCTCTTTTGGAAATAGTTCAAATTATTTTTTGTTTGCAGAGAGAACGACCAAATAGTCGGCTCTTATTTGGAGATCGAGGACGTTACTCTCGAAGATTATGGCGAGTACAAATGCGAAGTCAGCAACGGCGTCGACGAGGAGATCACGTTGCCTGCTCATCTATACCGACAAGGTTTGTAAAACGTCTTTCGAGACTTTCAACTTTTTTCCATTGTTGAAAATATTCTCCATCGCTCGATACATAATGCTACCATTTTGAAAAAAAAAAAAAAAAAAAATTAATTTCGATATTAATTGAACGATATTACGCGAGTTTATTATTAAAGTTACAAAAAAATTAATATTCGTAATGTATAATACTGTATATTTTTTTTTATTTAATATTTAATTCATGTGAATGCGTTTCATAAAATTTTTATTTCAAATAAATTTGAAATATGATGATATAAAATAATCTCATTTGCCATTACAACCAGTAATTACTGTTTATTACGGCTTTATTACAGCTGGTGCAAAACGCATTCGCTTAATTTCGTTACGTTAAACAGTCTAGCGCCGAATTTATTTTAATAACTATTGGAAAATGTATCTGACTATCAAACTGCGTATCAACACATACTTGTTTTATCGATTTTAATTGTTATGACAAATTAGTTAATTCGGATACTAAATTGATACAACACGTGGCGCTACGATAAAATCTCGTTTTCAAATTAAACTCAAACTTAATTTATTGTCAAATTTAACATCGTGGATCGTTTACACTGTAACGTTCCATTTTTGCTTCCTAATATTAATGCGTGGAGAACGACCAAATAGTCGGCTCTTATTTGGAGATCGAGGACGTTACTCTCGAAGATTATGGCGAGTACAAATGCGAAGTCAGCAACGGCGTCGACGAGGAGATCACGTTGCCTGCTCATCTATACCGACAAGGTTTGTAAAACGTCTTTCGAGACTTTCAACTTTTTTCCATTGTTGAAAATATTCTCCATCGCTCGATACATAATGCTACCATTTTGAAAAAAAAAAAAAAAAAAATTAATTTCGATATTAATTGAACGATATTACGCGAGTTTATTATTAAAGTTACAAAAAAATTAATATTCGTAATGTATAATACTGTATATTTTTTTTTATTTAATATTTAATTCATGTGAATGCGTTTCATAAAATTTTTATTTCAAATAAATTTGAAATATGATGATATAAAATAATCTCATTTGCCATTACAACCAGTAATTACTGTTTATTACGGCTTTATTACAGCTGGTGCAAAACGCATTCGCTTAATTTCGTTACGTTAAACAGTCTAGCGCCGAATTTATTTTAATAACTATTGGAAAATGTATCTGACTATCAAACTGCGTATCAACACATACTTGTTTTATCGATTTTAATTGTTATGACAAATTAGTTAATTCGGATACTAAATTGATACAACACGTGGCGCTACGATAAAATCTCGTTTTCAAATTAAACTCAAACTTAATTTATTGTCAAATTTAACATCGTGGATCGTTTACACTGTAACGTTCCATTTTTGCTTCCTAATATTAATGCGTTAAAAAAAATGCAATGCGCTTTTTAACTTTGCGCGAAATATTTTTATTAAAAATTTTAAATGTATCGTGAAATATTTTAATATTAAAATATCTCATTTTTATTAGAATATATTATTTTATGCAGACATAAACATTTCTAAAATCTTGAAAAAATTTTAATT